AAGGTCACTGTTGAAGACTAAGATTGGTGCCAGTATCCAGAAGAGCAGGCTCGCGCACACTTTCTGTGCATGAGTAGATGCTTCTTACAGAGTTTGCCTTCCTAAACTGGTCTTCATAGAATCCTCAATTTGAGCTTTAAAGTCTCTCTGATTTTTTTTTAAAAAAGGCAGAAATTCGGTGCAAGCAATTTAAATAGTATCTTGGTATGTGAATATAGTGATGGTGGGAAATACTGCAAAGCTCAAAAGTGTCAGGGTCTCTTTAGCATTTGGTTCTACACCAGTTTATGAATTTGGCTAAAGAGTAGTTAAAACGTTTTTTAAAAGCCCTAAGTTTTTATGTTTTGTGGAGAAATGTCCCTGAAAAAGTAATGCTAGAAGAGGGGGGCGGGGCGGCATGTGTACACTCCACTGAACCTTTCTCAGGGTGCTAATTGTAAGTTTGCTGAGATTCCAAAGGTTGTTCCACTTCCAAAAAGTTGTAGACTTTGGGATGGTGGTGTGTTTTCTAGAAATTAATATAATCCCTATACAGTTTGTAGATCGAAGATGACTTTGTGTTTTCCATGTTGATGGCAGTCTTCAGCAAATAGGATCATTTTACATCTTTCTGACTTGCCAAACAGAAGTTTGTGTTTTAAGGGGAAAGAAAAATGTTCACAGTAGATTGCGCTTGACAGGTATTCCTGAACTACTTACTTCCTTTTCACCTTTATACCAGTATATACAAAAATGCCCACAAATTTTTAATGGAAACTTGTGGTTTCCTGCTTAAACAGGTGATTCCCATTCCTCAGGAAAAAGATGTTAACATGATGCTGCAACTTTATTATTACAAGACCACTTTCTGGACTTCAGGCATCTTGGCACAAAACCAGTATCGTTCTTAATGTTCTGTACTGTAAGTTGAGATAGCATCGCTGCAGTAAACCAAACTAGAGTGCTCATATTAATGCTTCCGCTGGCTAATAGGACTCTGAAATGCAGCAGAAGCACCAGAACATTCCAGAGTTGACACGGTACTGCTGTGTCTGACTTTTTGTGAGGGTGAACTGTTGGTCATATTCAAGTCTGTCGTTTAAACAAGAAATAAACAACTGTACACGCTCCTTGTCTTAAGACAAAGGCAAACTGGAGGTGATATCTCTGAGTTAATTGGTGTTGGATGCTGACTCCTTTAATATTGAGTAAATAAAACATTTGGCTCCACAGCCCTGATTGTAGCAGTGATAAAAGTCTTCCATTGTTATGAAAAGTGCATGGTTTTTCATTAGAATGATACGGATTGTATAAGTTTCTATTCTATAGCCATAAACATTTCTTTTGGATATGTGAAGTGTCCAAAAGAAAAGGGGTCAATTTTATCATCATTATCATTTTAAGGTTTGCTGTATAACATTGCAGTATGGGTAGCATCCACTAGCCAGTAGTCCTGTTATAGTCTACTCCACTGTGCTGAAAATTGTGCTGCTGAGATTCTCCCTCGTGTATTTATTCTTTGCAGCAAAAGAAAAAACTTTTAAGAGTTAGAAACAGAAGTAAATATTTATTTTTAGGCACTTACATAGGTACTGATTATAACTTTATCTGTTTGTTTGTTTTTTAGTATTTATACTCCCTTTTTCTTTTATCCTCACAGCACCCCTGTGAGGTAGATTTGACTAAGAGAGACCAAACAGCCTGAGGCCACCCAGCAATCTTCCGTGGCAGAGTGGGGATTTGAACCAGGGTCTCCAAGACCCTAGTCTGACACTCTAACACAACACTGGCAAAATGGAGGGGGGGGAGCCAGGCTTGCCCATTACTGTTTGAGAACGTCCATTTGTTGTATAGAAAATGAGCTTAGCATAAACTTATTTTAGTTGATAAAAGCAAACTTTAGTGGGATGGTTGCTCTTTTGTGTCAGATCTGTTCTTGAGGCTCTGGTCTGCAGCCTTTTTAAAGAAGTACAGTGAACTCACTAATGGTGAATCAGAACTGTAAAAAAACCCCTCCACAGTGCTCTCAGAGCTGTGCGGACAAACCACAACTGAAGATGTTGCGTGTTTACAATGATTCAACATGACTCAGAATTGGTGGCAGAAAATACAAACACGTTAGTTCTTCCGTCTTGCCTCAGTATTGTCTTCTGTGACTGGCAGCTGCTCTCCCGGGTTTCAGGCAGTCTTTCCCAGAACTTGCCACCTGAGATCCTTAAGCTGAAGGTGGAATACTGAACCTGGGAAAGGCATGTAAGGAATGTGTTCTCCCATGCCCTAAATGTGGAAGCAACATCTAAAAATTTAATCCATCGTATGTCTGTCTGTCTCTCTCAGAGGGTCTCCCTGTCCACTGGCTGCTTTGCCTGAGTCTTGCCTCCAACATTCTAAACATTTTGCTGTTTCTCTCCCCCCCATAGAACACAGAGGTTATTTGCATATGCAGCCTCATTGGCCTCTGCCTCGGAACACAGAGGTTGTTTGCATATGCGACTTGATTGGCTTTTGCCTCTAACATTCTAAACAGTTTTGCTGTTCTGAGGTAAAATGTGTCCAATCTCCAGGAGAGGGCTGGAGATCACTCAGAATTACAACTGCTTTCCAGATGCAGAGATCAGTTCCCCTGGAGAAAATGGTGGGCTCTGTATCCTTACATGCTGCTGAGGTGGCCCCAGTATGACACCCAATGTGACGTGGCAGTCAGGGCTTCAGAGCATGGGAGAGGCTGCAGGTGTGTGGGGGGGTGGAAAGCTGAAGAGTGAGGGGGAACTAAAGGTAGGTTGATGATTGGCTGGGAAGGAGATAGGGTTGCCAACTCCAGGTGGGAAATTCCTTGAGAGGGTGAGGTTTCAGGAGGCGTGGGGTCTCAGACAGGTACAAAGCCATCGACTCCACCCTCCAAACCAACCATTCCCTCAGGGAAACCATCGTTGCCAATCCCCAGGTGAGGGCTGGAGATCACTCAAAATTACAACTGTTCTTTAGGTAGCAGAGATCAGTTCCTCTGGAGAAAATGGTGGACTCAGTGTCATTATACCCTGCTGAGGTCGCCACAGCAAATTGACACTGAGTGTCCAAGGCCGGGGCACTTGCCCAGAGCCTCTTTCTAGAGGCCGTTGTATTTATTTCCACAACGGGCCTTTTCCCTAGTATTTGTATACACCATATACATTTAGGACATTTCTTTGTCAGAACTGGCCACTTGTTTATTCATTTGTTGCCTGTGTCACTCTTTCTTCCTCCAAGACAATGGCTTTCAAATTGTGTTTAAGGAACCATAAAGTTGCTTGGAAGCTTATCAAGTGTTTTTAAAGTGAGAAGGTCATTAACAGTAGGCAATCTTTCTTTGAAAGGCAGCTTTGTCCATTACTGCCACTCTTTGCATTCTACTGATACAGCCAGGGAAATGGTAGATGAGTACCACCAGAGTGCTTGCCCAGTGCTGCTGTGACTTGTCTGTCCCTCCTAAAACAAGCATAGAACTTTCCCAATATTTCCTGAAGACAGAAATCTTGAAAACCACTTCTCTTAGGAGCTGACTGTGGCATGTATGGGGTTCCCAGGTGGCCTCCCTTAGCTGTAATGGCTCAAGGGATGACTGAGGTCACGCAACTGCAGCGGCATCCTTCTTTAAAATCAAGTAGGTAGGTTCACTAGTATCTGGGATTGGAAATCCTGCTGTAATCCTGTAAAAATAAAAGTAAAGACAAGACTGGCTTGACTACAGAGAGAGATAGCAGCTGCTTGGATTAGCAGCCCATTCAAGGGACAGCTGCAATTATTATAGTTTCTCTCACTGATTCTAGCATTTCTGATTCTCTACACAAATTAATGGTATTCTGCAGAAGCCGCTGACATGCTGAAGGGGTTCTGGGCATGCTTGTCCTTGGCCAGGGTATCCATTCCTGGGCCACGTTTTCTTTTTATCTTTCAGTATGTGGAAATGTATACATTAAGCTACAATAACATTGTTCAACCTCTTCATCTTTTCACAGTTTTATCTGACATATTGGCCTGTAGAATTGCAGATAAGGGGAATTGTAAAATGTGTTTTTCCTTTAAAAGATTCTGATTGCTAGTAAAAGTGAAACTCTTCTAAATATAGATAATTTGTAGAGTTGGCTGTCAATTGATTAGAGGCTATTGATTTATAGTTGTATATATAGAAATCCTTTATATAAGCAGGGAATTCCAGAGAGTGGAAATTTTGCTCCTTTGTTCACTATCTCTGGTACAGAGTTGTTTGTAGTGAAATGTGTATGCCACATAGATTTAGTAACACTTATGTAATATTAGTCATAATGAAATGAGCAAAGTGAATCAAATTCTTCCTTTTAAATTTAATTTCTGATCCTGGTTTAACCTTGAATATGAAAACAAGATCAGTCATTGCTGTTGATTAGAAGTTGTGTTTGCACAATTTCAGCAATTACATATCTGTACTCTTGAGGTCACAAATAGCTGTGTCTGCTCCAATTTCTAGTTATCATCCTAAGAGTATATAATACTGGCATGCACTGATAAATCAGGTTTAAACCTGGATTTGGACACCTTTTTTGGGTGTGGTAAGCATTCCTATACCATTTACAGAGCAAACACTGGTATATGCACCTGAAGCAGCCTTACACTGAGTCAAACCACTGGTCTGGAAGTGTAACCTACTCTGGCAGTGATTTTTCATGGTCTCCGGTAGAAGCCCTTTATATCACCTACTTACTACCTGATCCTTTTCTATCTGGAGACGCCAGGGATTGAACCTGGAACTTTCTAAATGCAAACCAGGTGCTCCACCCTCGAGCCACAGCCCCTCCCCAATGGTCATATCATATATCTGAAGAAATTATCTGTTTCTGTATGCATATGATTGTTTTAGTATTTTACATAGTATGAGAATAATTTCAGTGTTCTTTAGAATTCTGACAATAGGCTTGTTAGTGGAATGGCCCTGGGGTAATCTCAGGGTTTTTTTTTTTCCTCCGTAGTAATTAAATTCCATTATGTCTTCTTTGTTTATTATGCAGGAGCCCTTACCAAAGTGAAGGAGAGTAAGCGGCACGTAGAAGAAGGGAAGATGGAGGCCCAGAAGGCGGATGGCATTCAGGATCGTTGTAACATTATTTCTTTTGCTACCCTGGCAGAAATCCACCATTTCCACAAAATTCGAGTCAGGGACTTCAAGTCACAAATGCAGCATTTCTTACAACAGCAAATACTTTTTTTCCAAAAAGTGACACAAAAGTTAGAAGAAGCTCTTCACAAGTACGACAGTGTTTAATGTCTGGATGGCTACAATATTGTTTAATTCCTGGACTCTGAATAGTGGATATTTCTTGGCATACGGATGAGTTAAGCAACAGAGACAACAAATACTACTCTCAGATAACTATCAGCACCTCCTTGAGGCTGCTGTAGAAGGATGGTTTTATAATCTGTTTTTGGATGCAACTGATCCTAATAATTGGATTTGGAGAAAATAATTATGCCTATGTAGCGGAGACTGTACTACACATTGTAACTAAGTCATACTCCGAATGCCTACACTACCATTGTAATGTTTTTTGACATAATGATTATACTATCTGCCTTATTGCTTTTTTTTAAATACGGTATTTTAGTGCATATTCTGTAGACCTCAAAACCTTTTGGGTCTTCAAAGAAGCTGGTTAGTTTAAAGAACCTGCTTCAGATGCCTTTTTAAAAATACTCTTCGGTTTGAATATCTAAATTCAACCAGTTATCTGTTTACAAATTCCTGTTAGAGCAGCTATGCGACTTTGTGCCTTTAGACTCACAATTTTTTCAGTTTTTTTTTCTAATAAACCACATTTTTATGACTGAATGAATGAAGGGTTGGCACCTCTGACAGGGCCTGATTTCAAACCTCATAGTGACTGGAAATAAATAACTGTCATGAAAATCGCACACCTGGTAGTGAGAGAAATGTTGGTTGAAAAATGGGATTCGAAATCATTTTAGACTTCATTCTGATTTTTTTTAAAAAATACTATTTATTACTCGTGCCAGAACCTTAAACACACAGGAAAGAGTTTGGCGCTGCTGTATTCCTAACATGGTGACATAAAACCATTCACTGTAACACTTTTTAAAAATAGAAACTTGGACCACTTATCTAATAAACGAGTACTCAAGTGTAATAGTGGGTAAGAGAACGGAATCAGTGGAATGCATGTTTGTGAGCTTTTATTTTCTTTTTGTGAAAGTGTTGTCTTCACTGGCTATTGAGTCATTTGATTTAAGCATGGACCTACATTGCAGCCTGTCGTTAATGTTCGTTGTAGCCGCTGTTTGGTTGAAAGGAAAATGGTGGTTGCTAATGACAAGTTTATTTTCTCTGAATGCTTCTGCTGGCTGTTACCCTGGATTGTGCTTCAGGTCCTGTACATAAGGGTCTTAGTGCATAACAAATGGATGTACTGGAGCACTAATGCAGTGAGAGCAGGTGTGGGGATTCTCCTTACCTGCATTTCCACACTCCAAGAGAACCCTGTTTTAAAAGAATTAAGTTCTTAATTGTCTAAAGTTACATTTACACATAATTAGTGTTCAGAAAGTAGCAGAGTGCTAAACATTGTATTTAAAAGGTGCTTCAGTTTATCTGCCTGCAATGCAATGCCCATTAGCTTTAATTAAACAAATTTTAACCACTGTCCTTTAAATGTCGTTGCCTAAGGTTCCCAGAACCACACCACTAGTTCTGTACCAAAGGCAGCTTTGGATGTGTGTTGCCTGAATGACTGCTGCTTGTGTTGTATGGCAGAAATATTTTTTCTCCCTGATTCAGCTTTCAAAGCACAGTTTGAGCAGTTTACCACTCCAAAAAGCCTGGGTGGGGATCTGGGGAAATAGCAGCAGTGGCAAATTCTTGCTAGGTGTGGACTACCTGTTTAGAGCCTGGTTGCACTCTATTTATGTAATCTATTCTCTTACAGGTACTAAAACATTTTTAAAAGTGTGGCAAAGGTGTCAATACTGGCTAAATGGAAGGTTAATATTTAGGGTGAAGCAGAGAGCTTCCATTAGGAGAAGGCACTTGTGTCTTTCAACCATTCTGCGAGGTAGCAGGCCCCGCTCCAGTGACAAAGTGTCCCAGCTCTAGTGACAAGGTGTCTGGGAAAAGGGAATAAATTGGTGTATTTAGCAGATGTGCAAGGAGAGGGTGAGTGGTGTGTGTGTTTGTGTGTATACACACACTCACAAACGCACACACCTAAGTGTAATATAAAATTCTGTAAAGATAAGCCAAGTGAAAAGGGTTAAAATAGTAATGAGGTTAAATAATAAAAAATTATCTTTAGGTACCCACATTTTGTAACTTCTCAGTGTTGTGACTGCTCAAACTACTCAAATGTAGCTAATTTTAGTTCTAAACAGGCTCAGAGGTTCTTGGCTAGTTTTACTGCAGTACAAGAAGAGTTAAACAGAGGGTTAAACAAAGGACAAGGATTTAAACTGAGGGCAGAGGGCTAATTTACGCTCTAATATCACCTTTAAACTTTATTACACCTGTAGATTACAACAGTAATACCAAAGGCTAGGGGTAGTGAGTTCACAGATAAGGCTAAACCAGAGGCAGGTTTTTGTAACAGAAAAAGGGGGGGAAATTGCAGCTAGGGTTTAAGTATAGCTAGGACTGAAAAAATGGGTCCAGTGTGGAGTGGAGTTTTTTATTTATTTTATTTTTTATTTTATTAATTCAATTTATACCCCGCCCTCCCCGCAAGCAGGCTCAGGGCGGCTGGCATAGTTGGTCTATAAATGACCATTCAATTCACATAAAATCAATTTAAAATTTCAAATACAATAAAAACATAAACTCATAAAGTGCTAGTGCTGATACATTGGGTACATAAGATGGCATGCTGGAAATACCTGACAGCCAAACAGTTTGCCACTCAATAGACTTCCTGAGCACCGTGGTGGAGGCCAGATGTTAGAACTGCAGGCCGGCTCATTGGTAATAGTGGGGGCGGCTCCTAGTTGAAAGCCTGGTGGAAGAGTTCCGTCTTGCAGGCCCTGCGGAACTGCACAAGATCCCACAGGGCCCTGATCTCCGGGAGCTCATTCCACCAGTACGGAGCCGCCACTGAAAAAGCCCTGGCCCTAGTGGTGGCGAGCCCGGCATCCTTGGGGCCTGGAAGGGTCAGTCAGTTCTGGGACCCCAACCTCAGTGCTCTCTGGGGTATATATGGGGAAAGGCGGTCCCTCAGGTATGTCGGACCCTGGCCATTTAGGACTTTAAAGGTAAGCACCAGCAACTTGAAGCGAATTTGGTATGCTATTGGCAGCCAGTGCAGCGTCTTCAGCACAGGCAGGATGTGCTCCCATTTGGGAAGACCCATCAAAAGCCTGGCCGCGGCATTCTGCACTAGCTGCAGCTTACGAATTTGCAACAAGGGCAGCCCCATGTAGAGAGCGTTACAGTACTCTAGACTCGAGGTGACTGTCGCATGGATCACCATAGCTAGGTCGTTGCGGTTGAGGAAGGGAACCAACTGCCTAATCAGCCGAAGCTGGTAAAAGGCCGACTTGGCAGTGGCTGCCACCTGGGCCTCCATTGTTAAGGAGGGATCCAGGAGCACTCCCAAACTCCTAACCTTCAGTGCTGGTACCAATGGCACCCCACTGAAGGTCGGGAGTAGGGTCCCTCCTCCCAGACCACTCTGACTCACTCACAGGACCTCCGTCTTTGTCTGATTCAGCTTCAGCTGGCTCAGCCTAAGCCAACCAGACTTCAGCTTGTAGTGCCGGGTCCAGATCTTCCGGTCTGGAGTCCGACCGGCCGCCCAACAGCAGATAGAGCTGGGTGTCATCAGTGTACTGCTGGCATCCTAGCCCATACATCTGGGCAAGGGGGCGAATACAGATGTTGAACAGCATCGGGGACAGCACTGCCCCTTGGGGCACTCTGCACTCCAGAGGGTACCTCATGGACTGCTGTTCCCCTAGTTGCCACCCTTTGTCCCCAACCTTGGAGAAAGGAAGGAAGCCATTGCAGAGCAAGCCCCTGAATTCCCATGTCGGCGAGGCAGGGGATCAGTAACTGATGGTCGACCATGTCGAATGCAGCCAACAAGTCCAACAACAACAGTACTACCGAACCGCCCCAATCCAGATGCCTCCGGAAGTTGTCATTAAGAGCAACCAGTGCTGTCTCCAACTCATGTCCTGGGCAAAAGCCAGATTGGAAGGGATCTAACGTGGAAGCGTCATCCATGAAGCCCTGTAACTGTAATGCCACCGCCCTCTCGATTAACTTGCCCAAATAGGGCTTTGGCAAATAAAATGCAAAAAGGGACTATGAGGAACATATTTACAAAAACATGAAGACCAACAATAAAAATTTCTTCAAATACATTAAAAGCCAAAAACCACCTAGGGAGGCAGTGGGGCTCCTGGATGACCAAGGTGTGAAAGGATTACTAAAAGATGATAGGGAAATAGCAGAGAAGCTGAATGCATTTTTTGTCTCTATCTTTACTGTGGAAGATGGGAAGTGTTTGCCTGCTCCAGAACTGCCAATTTCAAGAGGGGTGTAGACAGACCTGAGTTAAATTGAGGTGACAAGAGGTGAAATCCTACGACTGATGGACAAATTAAAAAATGACATATCACCAGGCCCAGATGGCATATATCCAAGAGTTCTGAAGAACTCAGATGTGAAGTTGTGGATGTCCTGACAAAAATATACAATCTGTCACTAAAATTTGCCTTCATCCTGAGTACTGGAGAGTAGCTAACGTAACCTGCATCTTTAAAAAAAAGGTTCCAGAGGAGATCAAGGGAATGACAGGCTGGTCAGTCAAATGTCGTTACTGGATAAGTTGGTGCAATCTGTTATTAAAGATAGAATTAGTATTCACATTGATTAACAAAAGCTATTAAGAAAGAATCAGGTAAGGGAAGATCTTGTTTCACTGACCTTTTAGAGTTCTTTCAGGAGGTGAACAAACATGGACAGGGGTGACCCAGTAGATGTTATTTACTTAGACTTTCAGAAAGCTTTTGATAAAGTTCCTCATCAAAGGCTTTTAAGTAAATTCAGCAGTCATGTGATAAGAGGATAAGTCCTCTTGTAGATTAAAAACTGGTTAATTACCAGGAAACAGAGTGGACAGTTTTCACAGTGGAACGTGGTAAGCAGTGGGGTACCACAGGGCTTGGTACTAGGTCCGGTATTTTTTAACTCGTTCATTAATGATTTGGAGTTGGGAGTAAGCAGTGAAGTGGCTAAGTTTGCGGATGACACAAGTTGTTCAGAGTGGTGAGAACCAGGGAGGACTGTGAAGAGCTCCAGAGGGATCTATCAAGGCTGGGCAACTGGGTGTCAACTTGGCAAATGAGATTCAATGTGGCTAAGTACAAAGTAATGCACTTTGGAGCCAAAAATGCTAACTATAAATATATGTTGATGGGGTCCAAACTGGCAGTAACTGACCAGGAGAGAGATCTTGGAGTCATGGTAGATAACTCACTGAAGATGTCGACTTAGTGACTGCAATAAAAAAAGGCAAATGCTGTGCTGGGGATTCTTAGGAAGGGGAATCAGGCAGTATCATAATACCCCTGTAGAAATCTTTGAGTGTAGCCTCATTTGGAATACTGTGTACAGTTCCAGTCACCATACCTCAAAAAACAGCACTGGAAAAGGGGCAACTAAAATGGTTATGAGGATGGAACACCTTTCCTATGAAGAAGGGTTAAAGAGGTTAGGACTCTTTAACTTGGATAAATAATGATTCAGGGGCAACATTATAGAGGTTTACAAAATTATGCATGGGATAGAGCAGGTAGAGAAATAAGTACTTTTCTCACAATACAAGAACTCGTGTGTACTCAATGAAATTAATGAGCAGCAGCCTTAGAACAGATTAACGGAAGTACTTCTTACACCCAAAGAGTAATTAACACATGGAATTTACTGCCACAAGAAATGGTGGGAGCTACAAGCATTGACAGCTTCAAGAGGGGATTG